GTGCACGAAGTCTAAAAGTACTATGAACTCGCCTTTACTACTTAACGGTTTCCAAAATTAAGGAATGTTCGGCAGAAATGTGCGTTATCTCTTGTCTTAGGACTTTGTCGTTCTCGTGGTCTACACCATCTAAGTCTGCTATCTGTAAGATGTCTGGTAATTACTTTACGTAGGGAAAGCATTTTGTCTCGGAGGCCGTAAAATTAGATAAAGGGGACATTTTGACCGTTCCCTCTTACAGTGTCCACCTTATACTCCGCAGAAGAGTAAACGCAGAGGCTAATCCGATTATAGTGGTAATCAGCTTGCGTTTTAGGGATTTATATTTGTCTCACACTGCTCGGATCAACAGATCACTATTGACGAAGATGCTCAAATGACCATATAAAGGCAGGGGCTGCAAGCATGGAATATGAGTGGCACCTGGAGTAGTCTATCACCCTTCAAGTGAAACACCGACTTCGCCCAGAGGAGGCAGTCCGCCCTCACTGAGACATCTTGAGTATGTCATAGGCCATCGAAGCAGGCCGGTGCAAATTTGGAACTTTTGTCGTTGCTTCATTAGTTTGGTGCTACTGTCTTCGATCCGACACTTTGTTCACTAGGAGGCGTTAGAGGCGTCACCTCGAAATCAGGTTCGGCACCATTCGTCAAGAAATGATAGGAGGATAAAAATGCATCGAGATCTCTAGATGCGTTGCCGAAGGTCACCTGCCATAAGGAGATACAGTTCGTGACACAATCAAGGGCACGTACAATATTATTCATCGGTATCACTAGAAGAACAGACCTACGGACTGGATGTCGGAGAAGACCATTCAAACTAAGAATGAGACAGAACGCGCCGAGGCCAGGAAGCTCAGCTAACGTGACAGCCGGTAGAAATCATTACTAGCTACACAGGGCTGCTCTGGACCATATGTGGCCTATTAGCGTTCTATCTGCTAACTTTTCTTGATATCTCAACCAACCTATTGTCGCAATTTGAATGAATCCCATGTATACCTAAATACGCAACTTGCCACCAAAGTTAGAGCAAAAATCCATACCTTCAAAATGAATCCATTTCTAAGGAATAATTATATGCTGTAATTTCTAAGGTTTTAAGAGATGAACTAGGCTTGAATCAATTCTGCGCTGAATTTAACATACCGGATGTTTACCGTATGGTTAGAGGACCGTTTCATTCGCCCTAGGTGGACAAATTAAAGCTACGTGGACGTCGATGTAACCAGTATTGCCTCAATACTTGCACACTTATCGCTCTAACATGCGTACGTAACCCTCGAGATGATCTAGAAGGAAAGCTAGCCGGTTTTACCTCAGTTGTACCTACGTCGAGGTACGCAGGTTAAGGATATTATTCCCATTTATATGGCAACAGAAACTACGCAGGCGCTGTTTTAAAAAAATGTACCATCACAGGCTGTAAAAGCCTCTAAAGCACATCTTTATAGGTAGCGAAATTGCGTTTTCCCCACGTAACCACGTGAAATTCTCGGACAGGTCTTGTTTGGCCCGCTTTCACTGTCAGTCTGAACTGAAGTTAGGCAAAGCGCGTGCCTTATGTTTGGACAGCGTTGCATTTGTCCTGCATCATTTTCCAATGTATGTAGTTAGCTAGGCACCTGGACGGAATTACGTTTGATCTGTTTAACGTTCCAAACGAGCATTGTATTCGTCTTCTGCATACCAAAGTACTTCGCATTCCGCAGGTGAAATAGGTTACGTTTCCTTGCTGTTCAGTGTACGATTTTGGTTACGTTACCATAGTCTTTTTCGTTTTTAAGTCTTGGGCCAAAGTGCTTCACCTTCGTGATTTCTAACGAAATCTAAAACCTTCCTACTTTCAGGATCCCGCTGAAACTCCTGCACCGGCAAGAATCGAAACTAGAGAAGAAAGGAAAGAAAGAAAGCGTCGAGAAAAACAGGAACAGGCCAACTACAAACTCGAGCAAGATTTAGCTTTGTGTACGTGCCTGCTAGCTTACTTACTTGCGTTTGTTCAGGGAATCCGAAAAAGAATCCTAACGCCACCGGTAATCCTTACAACACTCTTTTCGTGGCGCGTTTGGTAATTTATGGATTTTGTTAACCCTTATCATCTTCAGAACTATGACACCTCGGAACACAAAATCCGTCGTGAATTTGACGTTTACGGTCCAATAAAAAAGGTACTTGAATGCTGTTCTGACGGTCTCGTTAGATATCTATGATTAAAGATGTATCTACCGGAAAACCCCGAGGTTACGCCTTCGTCGAGTTCGAACATGAGCGGGATATGCATGGTACGTGACGTTCCTTCGGTTCAGAATTAATAAATCGTCCCCTTATTGTTGTGTTGTAAGCATACTTAAGGCTTAGAGGAATTTAGGATTGAAAATCATTATTAAATATACAGTGCCGTGACTTTAATCAGAAGATGGGGAAGTTTTCCGCTGATGGACTAGTGCTAGACAATTGAAGGTTGCTTGACTTCCTTTTTCTACTGCCACTACACATCGCACAGTCACCAATATTTCAATGCAACCATGTAGAATGTCACGAACGCTTAGTAATTTGCGGACTTCGATTCATGAAGTTTTACCAGCTATGCAGGTAGTCGGTGTTTACCTTTCGCGAACCTAGTGTCTAATATGGTTTTGCCACGAGTTCAACCCCTGTCAAGATAACTGGTCCAAGCTGGGTAAGTTGAGTTTTATAGCTGTCAAGTAGTCTGAAATGGACTTCTTTAATTGAAAAGCATGTAAGAACAAAGGGTTGCCTCCTGACGTATAATTTCTTCTTTTTTTGTTCAGGGCAAAAGTTCGCCGGCTTGGTCTCCAGCCGCATTTCAGAAAATCATTAGGCACTTTCTGCTCAGTAGACTTGACTAATGGTAAGCTCGGTAAGCCCCATCCTAAGGATTAGGCGGCACTGGTTTGCAGTAAACTGGTTAGCGAATACATCCATCAAACACAAAAAGCAGTCGCCTTCCGTTTAGGGGAGCCCATAACGACCCGTTGGTCAGTTTTTCTTAAAATAAACTCTGGGTAAGCATTACCAACAGTGAGTTAATTTGCTCTTTTTGATTTGTGGCGTTTTTGTCCTTATTTCGCATATTCGTCTGCCGCCGTTCCCGAAAAAGCTGCTAATAAAGACGCAAACAATCGTAAGATCGATGGTCACCGGATCCTCACTGATATCGAACGCGGCCGAACTCGTCCCGACTGGCGACCACGAAGACTCGGTAAGTTTGTATTTTTGTCGCCTGGGAAGTGGACACCGACCTTACGCAATTTTTTCTGAACATTTCAAATTGTATCTCCAATCAACAGCCGACCGACCTTGGTGCGCCTTAGGCTATTTCACTTAAGTCGTGCCCCATGTATTCGGTCTACATTCACTTAGCTTCACTGTGCACCCACCGTTCGTTTATTCAACGTTACGTAAGTTATTACCCGCAGCCATTTACTTCAGAAGGCTAAAGCTCACTTAAAAACATCGGATCAAGCGCTGTGACAGGTAGGCGAGCAACAGCTCTACAGGTAACTAACCCATTACCTCTCAGTGATCTCATATGAGATCACTTAAAAATTAAGAGCTTTCGTAATTATCTGTCTGTATAAACGTATATTTAACCTTCATGCTATATCTATTAGGAATATTTCTCTGATATCCACGTGAGATTTTTAAAAAAATAATTTATATTTCATCGTGTTTCTCACGCTTTTTTACAATAGGTATCCAAGTTTCATAACAAAAATCAAAGTGGTTAAAGTTATGGGAGGTAATGGGTTAATATCCTTTGCGGATCTGCCAAATAGTATATGAATGCTTCTTACTATTCTCCCACGACCTTGTTCGCATTGATCTGCGGAAGGATTACACCGCCCGTTACCCATCGAAGGAATATATGCATATGTTCAGGAAGCGAACACCTAGTCAGCTGGCCAACAAAACATCTTGAGAGTTAACTCGACCTTTCTCAGTTCCAAATGTCCATTTTTCAATAT